GCGAATGTCCTTTTCTTAACTTTTTACTTTCAGTTTTTTTCTCTTTCACTTAGTACGTTTCACTCCGAAATAACTTTAATATAATTTGGCTTAATCTGGAAACAAGAGTTTTTAGAACGATAACGCAATATCCTTTCGGTTTTCTAAGGCGTCGTAAGAATTCGCCTATTACAATTATCATTCTTTTCACCAAAAAGCATTTTTGTGGTAATAGTATTTTACATATTTTATTCATATTTTGTAAAAAAATTTAGCTGTTCAGTGGTAGCAGTTACTGATGAATGAACGGATCAACTCATGTTATTCGCTGGTCTGGCCGATTTGAGTCATCAGGGATTAATCAAAAATGCAGAGCCAGAAAGGTGTTCTAACTTTTCAGGTGTTTGATGCTACCAGCCGAAAAATTATTACGTTATGTGGGAATGCTTTCAACTTTTGATGTTTAGAATCCATTTAGTTATCTTAGCTATAATGCGCTTTTATTTTTCTTTTTCAAAACTGCTACTCATATTGGCAAAATAAGGCAAACGTGATGTAAGACGTCCAAAACTCTCTAATTTAAGGGTGTAGAGCTTGTCATAGACTCTGAGCAAAATTTACATAGTAGACATGCTCTTCAAGATAGTGTCGTTTGTCTCGCTTGAAGCAATCTAATTCGTACAACATACATGAAAAGCGCATCTTTAAAATAACCTATCTTGCAATCACTCTTGTAGAAATCTATGTGCCACCCCTACTTGAGAACGCTACTTTCTACAGATTTAATCGTTCTTGAAGCTGATAAAAAAGCCCACTCTTTAGAATTATTTATTGAGTCATAAAATCATTTCATAGATGAATGCTTAAAACAGCAACTTTGCATTCCTTCCCGGTTCTGCATATGCAGAGTCAAATGGGCAGCGTGACTATTGGCTACCATAATAACTTGCATCGGCTACGCTCGATGGGTAATTTGGGCCAATAGATTCCTTGATTAAGATAACTCTTAATAAGCAGCTCAAGTTTTGCAAACTTATGCTATAAAAATGATTCTTCGACATGTCAACATACATATTTGTGTTGATGTGTAGAAGCTTAAAGCAAAATGCAATGCAATAGTAACTTGAAAGGATTTATAGCTATGGTACCGCTCTAAATGTCACTATATTGATCAATATGTTATAAAATTTGCGCAACAACTAGAGTGGAAAACGGGAGAAAGATAAGTCAATGGAAATGTATTGCTGATTGTAAAACTTGCACGGAACTTAACCCAGTGCGGCAACTCAACCACCTTAAAGCCAAAAATTTAGTTGATAAATCCACTGCGTATATACATAACACGGAAAAAGTACGTGCCTCGACTTGGGTAGCAAAATCTGTCTCTCTCTACCGATGGGATACATAACACGGAAAAAGCACGTGCCTCGACTTGGGTAGCAAAATCTGTCTCTCTCTACCGATGGGATGCGGAAGGAAATACGGTGTAG